TATAGAAAAGAATCACCCCCGCCCCCCCCTTCAAATAATCACATTTTGTTGCTTTGCAGCCTGAAATGAAGACGGACACAGATTTTGTTTTATCCAGCTGCATATCCCAACATATCCCAACAGACTAAAGACTGTAATTAAAGCAAAAAGTGGTTCAACAAAATACTGACACAAGAGGGTGATCCCTTTTCCAACTCATTGATTCTGTTTTTTTTTTTCTGACATGTTGGTGTTATATCTTTCACTTGGTTATAAGTTACACTGAGTAAATACAGCTGGATAAAACAAAAACTTTGACTTTGGAACTGTCTGGAGACAACTTTATAGAGGTCAATAAATAAATACATTTGATCTTTTTTTATGCAATGATCATGATTCTTATTTGGATTATTTATTGGCCTTTACACTCTCTTTTTGTGATTATATGAATTAGTATTTGCAAGGACAGCACAGAGCTCATGATGAGCAATGGGTCAATCTCACTCCAAAAAAACAAAATTAAAATACAGCAATTATATTAAAGCACTAGATGGCGCAGCTGAGCTAATGTGACTGTATCTGGAACTCCTCATGGTGTTAAATCCCATTAAAAACAATACTGAGATGACTCTGCGTTCATTACCAAAGTATTGACTATAAAATATAAGCTTAAGCTACTGGATGAGAACAAAATTGACACTACTTGATTAGAAATGAATTGAACTGGATCACACTATTGTCTTCGGTAAAGCTGCTTTTGAAGTCGTGTTAATTTTGAAGAGCTTTAACAACATTGACAGTTATTGAATGAAATTGAATCAACATGAAACTCTTGATTTGAATATCGACACTATTGTCTTCTTTAAAGTTGCTTTATAGCTGGGTAGAAGTTCGATGAACTTTGTTCTATGTTCACTATCAGCTGAAATTAAAGTCATTGTATAATTGTTGATTTTTATTTATTTTTGGAACAACATAAGATTGTGTAAATGATCAGATTTTCATTTTTGGATGGACTATTCCTTTGAATTATTATTTTCATTAGATTTTTAATTTTGTTTTAAGCAGAAACTTCACTAAATTGAGCTATATTTGTGCTTAAACCTAATACTATCTGTTAATGGTGTAGGAAAACAAAACAACAACAAACTAAATTAAAATGTGTGACTTTGCTTTTCAGGTATATTTAGCTTGTTTAAAAGATGTTTAGATTTTGCCTTTTCTTTAGTGCCGTAACACAGACTGTTTGCAGACAGAGTGAAGTTTGTCTTGGGTTGTTTGACACAGAGGTGCTGACTGCTTTGTGGGTGGGTCTCTCTCCTTGCTTCTCACTTGGTAAGACAGTAATTGAAAGATTGACGTTAAAGGGAAAATCTGGGGGAGTTTTTCTTGACCAAGAACAATATGGTATCAGGTACAGCACCCTCTCAAATACTCAACACACCCAGCATTACTTCAGATTTCACTTCACTGTATTTAATGATGTACAGTGGGGTCCAAAAGTCTGAGAGCACACTGAAAACACTGGATTTAAAATCTAATTTAAATCTGGAAATATACAGAACAGATTTTTGATACATTTAAAACAAAGAAACATTCTGAACAATTTCTTTGTTATCCAGCCAGATTAAAGGAAAAGTTAACCCAAAAATGCAAATATGCTGAGAATTTACTAACCCTCAGGCCATTCAAGATGTACATGAGTTTGTTTCTTCATCAGAACAGATTTGAAGAAATTTAGCATCACATCACTTGCTCACCAATGGATCCTCTGCAATAAATGGCTGTCGTTAGAATGAGAGTCCAAACAACTGATAAAAACATCACAATAATCCACAAGTAATCCACACCACTCCAGTCCATCGATAAATGTCTTGTGAAGTGAAAAGCTGTTTGTAAGAAACAAATCAGGCATTTTACCATCGTTTCTGGCCAAAATACAAGTCCATAATCCATAATAACGCTTGTAAACAGTGCTTGATCCGTGCATATTTCTTTCCTGATTCAGATGAGACTACTTTTTCACTGGAAAAAGAAAGCAATATTAAGGATAGAGGACCCGTGTTTTTGCCAGAAGCAATGTTTTGAAGTTAAAAACGTCTTAATAATGTATTTATCTATTAAACATGCAGCTTTTCACTTCACAATACAATAATTGATGGATTGGAGGATTACTTGTGGATTATTGTGATGTCTTTATCAGCTGTTTGGACTCTCATTCTGACGGCACCCATTCACTGCAGAGCATCCATTGGTGAGCAAGTGATGTAATGCTAAATTTCTCCAAATAAAGAAACAAACTAATCTACATCTTGGATGGCCAGAGGGTGGGTACATTTTCAGCTAATTTTCAGTTTTGGGTGAACTACTCCTTTAAGGACCTTGTTGTCCCTGACTCAATAATTGCTGGATGCAGATCGGAACAACTAAAGTGTGAACATGAAACTTGCTTTTCCCACTCAGTTCATATTCATGGAAATCCCAGGAATGCTCCTTCAAGTAATGTGTAACAGTTTCAATTTAACAGACATCAGTACCAGAGAGACAAACGCAGCACTGAGGCCAGCCGTGCACTTCCAGAACCATCCAAAGCAAATGTTGATCCAGACTTTGGTCCAAGTCAGTGCGTTCGACGGTAGTGCACAATCCCGGAGCTGCTTCCCAGCTTTCATCTCCAGCCAGGTACCTTCAAGGTTCATTGATAATGCAATGAAACTGTATGTAAATGGAACAACCCGACGCATGGACTTCTGGCCATTAGTCTTCCCTAAAGCCCCAATGTGACTTTTAATCAACGTCAAACGGCGAAAAAGAGACAGAGGAGAAAGTTTAATGACGGAGATGATATATTTAAAGAGGAACAAAGTAATGCCAGGAAATTATGATAGAATACTACTTTTGAGATCATTGCAAAAATTTATTTTTATTTCTCTTACAAAGAAAACTATTATAACAACATACAACAATCAAAAAAAGCCAATTTCTTTCACTGTTGTCATGATAATTTCCCTTAACCCCTTTTTCTATCCGTGGATAAAAGAGACCAGGCTTCACAGGGAAGAAAAGCGAGATAATTTAAACACAGATGTGCAAAGGAAACAAAGCATGCAAGAACCAGAGACACATTTGCTACAAATTGCCCTCAGATAACCTGTCAGATAAATACTAATTTACAAAAGAAGAAATGAGATAATAATTCAACAAAACTAGGGTGGTGTATTTACCTCCTGTAATATACAACATGGTCTCTGAACGTTGTAAACATTTCGTACACTCACAGCTATTTCAACTAATAGGTAGATGCCCTGATTTGAAGCCGTGTGGCCGTAAGGATGGGATCACTGGAAATGCAGACCTGGATCCTGTGATGAATCAAGCAACAGCCCTGATTTGAAGCAGCCAAAATGAATCATGACTAGTCCTACCAGAGATGCAATACTGGACCACTGTTAAGGTAAAGAAGGTCAGAAACACATCCAACTCATGCTAAGAGCTTTGGTTTATTTGAATTGAATTGCTTAAATATGGGCTTTACAAGCCAAATAATAAGCATTGCTTCGAGGAAAGCTTTCAGTTGTTTGGTGAGGTCTGTATAGTTCCAACTGTAAGTAAGGCACTTGATAAATATAACTCTAGTAGACAATTGTTGGGTAAATCAATCTGTCGATGACTGGTGAACTAGGGGAAAAATGATGAAGCTAATTTGCACATTTCTGAGCTGATAATGAAGATTTTCATTAGCAAAACTGACAATGTACCACCATATCAATGGAATAAAATGTAGCTACACAACTGGTCAAAAGTTTGGGCTCAGTAAGATTTTTTAATGTTTTTGAAAGAAGTCTCTTTTTTATGAGCATTTATTTGATCAAAATAGAGTAGAAACAGTAATGCTGTGAAATATTATTACAATAAAAAAAATTTCTATCTGAATATTTTTTAAAGTGTAATTTATTTCTGTGATGCAAAGCTGAATTTTCAGCATCATTACTTCAGTGTCACATGATCCTTTTTAAAAATCATTCTAATATGCTGATTTGCTGCTCAAAAACATGTATTATTATTATTATTATTATAAAAGTTTAAAACATTTATAATAATACATCTTATAAACATTGAAAACTGAAAACGGAGTTGAAATATTGAAAAACTTTTCATATGTTCATATATTTTTTAAGGATTCTTTAAAGAATAAAAAATAACAGCATTTATTTTAAATAGATTTTTTTTCATGTATACATGTAAATGTATTTACTGTCATTTTTGATCAGCTTAATGCATCTTTGTTGAATATTAATTTCTTAAAAAATATTACTGACCCCCAACTTAAACTGAAGGTTTAAATACTATAAATACATTCCAAAAAAAAAAAAGGAAAAAGTAATTTACTCTAGTTGCATTGTTGCAACTGGTAATATAGTGCCATAACTGAGAGTATTACCCCTCTTTTTTGAGGATATGAATTGCTCCAGTTATCAGGAAAAGAATATCGTGTACAACACATCCAGAACCTTCAATATTCCCCCACTGGAAACCTTTCCCAGCCACATTTGATAAAGCAACATAAAAGCTAAATAAATTATCCCAGCACATGCACATCAAAGAAAGCTTGATCTAGCACATTGGCAAAGACTTTTGAGCATCCGTGGCTGTTTCTTTGGTTTAAAGCTTTAAAACAGTGAAAAAGCATTTAGTATCAAGCAATACTAACTGCTTACAAATGTAGTGTACTTAGACACAGAGACTCAATTTAGTTTTAAACGCATTCGACTTCAACGTACAACTCTGTGTGATCAATTAAGGCACAGAAATTTAAATTACCGTAAATTAGTTGCATTAACTTGAACGTAGATGCTTTACAAAAATATTCCCTCTATGACTCAAGTTTCAAATACATTAATTAATCTATGGCTTTTATAAGTTACTTTAAATCCTTTTATCAAATACGTATAACTTAAATGCTTAACTTAAAAAAGCGCAAAAAGAGATATTTGATTACAAACTGCCATACAGGTGTTGTTCAGTGCTTTAAATGATATATTAAAAACATGCCAAGACAAGTAAATAATAACAAAATGCTAATGAAATACTCGATCCATCTCTATTCCTTCAATTCCAAATAATCCCGCCTATGACAATGATTCCCAGAGGTCAAAAGGTCCAGAATAATGTATTACAACAACAAAGTCCAATGTAAAAAATACTTCCCTTTCAACAGGCTCATAAATACTCATGTTAGCAAGGGAAAGTAGCTCAGCGAGACAGGATGAACATCCTAGTAAGGTTTGTGCTTTAAAACCATGCCGTTCTTTTGGAGCATCCACACTCACGTAACTGTCTGATCAATATGGCCGCCACACGCCTTCGTCCATTCTACCAGCAGGATGAAGCAGAGTGGGGGAGTTGCTATGACTACCGTCTCCCTCCACCCCCCCACTTCCATCAGCCTGGACCGGGAGGTTTGGGTTGACCAGGCTGGTTCCCGTGGACGCGTTAGTACAAGGCGGCATCATCCGGGTGGGCGATCGGTCTCCTCCTGGAACCATAGAGAACTGGTAGGAGCCCGAGGAGGCGCCGTAGTAGAGATAAGGTGTGCTGCTGCTCTGGAAGGGTCCGCTTTGGCTCTGGGTGGAGCCGGGGTACGGCGGGGGAAGGTAGGTATGATAGTGAGCGCTGCCGAGGGACATTCCGTTGGTGACGGGGGTGGGCGTGTACGTGAAGGTGGCTGGGTAGTGCATTCTAGGACTGGAAAATCGGCTCTCGGTGAGTGAGGAGAAAGCGGGGAACTGACGCTCAAACTGGCCAGGAAAAGGACTCAAATCTGTTGAACCTGCAGAAACAAATGTTGAGGTTACTTTTTATAGAAGTATGGAAGGATTTAAATACTATTGAATACAGAAATTACAGCAATGAACAATCATGACAACAGAATTGAGCTTTATTGAATTTTCCCCCCCACTTTATTTAACTACAACCCTGTTTAACCAAGAGCCAGTTGCATAAGCATAGCCACTATGTTAAAACTAGTTTGACCAACTACTAGTTAGCCGAGGGGTAATCAGTTACTCTTACTTTTTGGATTCAAATTAGACCAATCTACCTTTTTGTAACTGACTTTAAAGAGTTATGACCAGTTTTGAAGAAACAAAACAAATCATATTAATAACTTTTTAAGATTGTTTCTCATTGTTTCACTGTTATTTTACGTGAATTATTTTTTTCTGTTTTAATGTATTTATTTGTATTTGTATTTATTTGATAAAAAATACACTAAAATCTGAAATATTATTACAATTAAAAAATAAAAAAGTTTTCTATTAAATATATTTTAAAATGTAATTTATTCCTGTGATGACAGCTGAATTTTCCGCATCATTACTCCAGTCTTCAGTGTCACATGATCGTTCAGAAATAATTTTAGTATGCTGATTTTCTGCTTAAGAAACTTAAAATATATATATATATATTATTAAATGTGAAAAACAGATGTGCTTCATAATTTTTGTGGAAACCACAATACACAGTTTTTTTCAGGATTCTATGATAAATGAAAAGTTCAAAATAACATTTATTTGAAATACAAATATTTTATAACATAAATGTTATATATTTAATGCATCCTTGCTGAATAAATGTATTAATGTCTTAAAATATATAACAATATATAAAATATAAAAATGAAAAAAGTTTTGACAAATCCTGTGCACTTTAAACTAGTTAAACTAAAAAAGTTAATCTAAATACCTAACCAAATTTAAATGACAGAATGTAGCTATTAAAAAACAACCATTAACATTAAATTAGAGACATGCAGAGGAGAACAGTTTAACGATTAGCTGGCTTCACTTCATTGTGGTTTTTCCTCTTTGTCACAGACAAGTTCATGTGTATGTGTATTCATGTGTGCGGTTATATGTCTCAGTTCATTTGTGTCTCTGGGGTATTTATATGCCTCTTTATGCTGTATGCATGTTTAAATTGTTCCTGTGCATACAAAAGTGTATGTATGTGTGTGTGTGTGTGTGTGCGTGTGTGTGTGTGTGTGTGTGGTAATCTAAAATAAAATAAAATATTAAATACGATAAAAGCTAATAATAAAATATAAACAAAAACTATGACAGCATATAAATAGTACTAAGATAACACAAATGTGTTATAAGGGCTGCTATAGAGAATTTAGCATTATCTGTTATCATTTACAGATAGTTTTCTCTTTCAGGTCTACTACTGTCATGGCAGAGCAGCAGTTTGAAGAAAAAAAGGTTTGTTTAAGGTAAAGTGCATGTATTTTTTTTAATGCTTAAAAATGCTTAAAATTACAGTAAAATTAGAGTAAAATTACAGTTTAATATGTGGAAACAATAAGACATTGGTAGACTGATTTCCATTAAAGGGGTCATATGATGTTGCTAAAACAAACATTATTTTGTGTATTTGGTGTAATGCAATGTGTTTATGCGGTTTAAGAGCAGGTCATATGGGTTTTTGAAAAATATCTCTTTTTTTAAATTGTTCCTGTGCATCCAAAAGTGTGTATGTGTGTGCATCTGCATTGGCTGCCGCACATAAAACACAACTAGGATGCATAATTGGTCACACATTTGGAAATGTTTAGAGGGGCGCGAAGCAGCATCGTAGCAAGAGAGACAGACGTCTGCACTGTTGTGGGCTCCTGATATCTTCAGCATTATAAACTCAGGCAAAAACTGTCCATCTGCCCTTCTGTCCTTAACATATTCTTTATTTCCCTCCAAAAATCAGAAACCACTAATGGTCTATAGCTAGTGCTAGTGCCAAGGGGTAAAGGAACAAAGAGAAACAGCCTCGCCTCCCTGGCGCAGAGCTGTTTTCATAAATCACACGGCGTCTTTCTTGTCACCATGTCTGCGCCTGTGGGCCGACTGGGTGGCATGGTTAAACGTGGGCGATTTGCGGAGACACGGCTTGTCACTAACGCTAGCCGATTCTCCTTTTGCCCTCAACGCCCATCCCCCTTTTCTTTTATATTCAAAATCTTTGGTTTAAGCGGCTGACGATAATGGTTTTCTCGCCTTAGGGTATACAGAGAGCCTGTGCTCTGAATAAGAGGCTGAATGATAAAAGCAAAAAAAAGTTATTTACATACATTCTCTGCTAGTCACCAAAAATCCATAGACAAGATGGTGCTGGTCTTGAGAACAGATGCTATGTCTGTAAAACTAATGATTTATTTGGCAAGAATGATTTGTTTCAGGTGAACCAAACAACTATGGGTTATTTATTTATTAAGTTTATCTCATGTCTACATGAGGAATGATGTCACCATTCAACAAAACAGTGCAGTAGTTTTTACTCATTGTTTGCTACAATGCTAAAGCTAAGCCTCTAACTTTCTAAATATGACTACTACGTAAACACATACACTTCAAGCTCGATTTCATGCATTATTTTTTTCAGAAATGAATCAGACCTATAATTCATATCGCAACCAGTGTTGCTTAATCTAAAACTATTAATTTTTTTTTAACTAAAATAAAAAATAAATAAAAAACTTGAAATATATGAAAATCATAAATGCTGCCTTGCCAACTAACTGAAATAAGTTAACAAAATTAAAATTAATTAAAACTATTTAGAGAGATATATATATATATATATATATATATATATATATATAAACTAATACATATGACAAAAGCACATTAAACTCAAAATTGTAATCTAAAATAAAATAAAATATTAAATACGATAAAAGCTAATAATAAAATATAAACAAAAACTATGACAGCATATAAATAGTACTAAGATAACACAAATGTGTTATAAGGGCTGCTATAGAGAATTTAGCATTATCTGTTATCATTTACAGATAGTTTTCTCTTTCAGGTCTACTACTGTCATGGCAGAGCAGCAGTTTGAAGAAAAAAAGGTTTGTTTAAGGTAAAGTGCATGTATTTTTTTTAATGCTTAAAAATGCTTAAAATTACAGTAAAATTAGAGTAAAATTACAGTTTAATATGTGGAAACAATAAGACATTGGTAGACTGATTTCCATTAAAGGGGTCATATGATGTTGCTAAAACAAACATTATTTTGTGTATTTGGTGTAATGCAATGTGTTTATGCGGTTTAAGAGCAGGTCATATGGGTTTTTGAAAAATATCTCTTTTGAGTTTATAACGTAGCTATCCTTAAATGAAAACAATCTGCAAAGTTGTTATAGAGCAGAGTAGGCTTATGGAAGGGAGGGGTTTGCTCTGAACTAGCTTGGAACTAATCGTTTCGAAATCATTGGCAAATGACTCTAATATTAAATGTATATTCTGAGAAAATTACAATGTTTTCTGACC